TCCTCCCCTTGTTTCTTCTTTTCGTCTTTCTTCCCCATGTCGTTGTTCTACAGTGCGTGCTAATGTGTCTGTGCGTTTGGAGTGTTTTTTTTTTCTTGGTTGGTTGGTTGGTTGGTTGGTTGTTGCCTGCTTTGTTCTTGCACACTCCCTGCCCCGTTGCGCACCAATGGTTTTATGGCAAGTCAGCAAGAAGAGGAGCTAGAAGGGGTAATTTTTCTAGTGTGTACTCCCTTTTCATGCACTTACGTTCTCTTTGCTTGCATTGCAGGTGGAGGGCCAGTCAGGCCTCCAATGGCACAGCCACGGCCTCCTCACCAACAGCAGCACGGAGCTCGTCCTGGACCAGGCAACCCCGCACAGGTTCGACCGTCGTCATCACCTCTAGGGGGCATGGTCACTGCCCCCCCTGCTCATTCTCCAGCTCAACGGCCCCACCCAGACCAAGTTCGACCGCCTCCTCAGCAGGGATATCCAAAGCAAACGCGGCTGCATCAACAACAGCATCAACAACAACATCTCTATGACCAACAAGATCCTCCTCCAAGCCAGCAGGACAACTACACTCCTCCAGGACTGAAAGGCCTATCGACCCAGATGTCGAACCTGTCGGTTGGCTCCAATACTGCCATGGATCAGGCTACCTCGGGGTTATACTCGACCATGCCTCCACAGGACCTGTCATCTTCGCAGTCAGAGGTAACAAGCTGCGTGGAGTTGTCTGCTTTGGATATATTAGACAGCCTTTTGCGCCTTGGTTTCTGATGGCTTGTAATCTTCGCTCTTCGCTGAACAATAGATCAAACCGGCAGCAAAAACAGGAGCTCGAGCTAAACGAGTCTTCGCCGTGGATCAAGCAGCAACACCTCCGTTGCATGGCCAATTGAGCGGCATGCCTCCGATGCCTGTGCAGGGGTCCCCAGCGGTGGCACAGTACGAGAGCGTGCCCTCTCCTGCCAATCAAGCATATCAACCGTATCCACAGCAACAGGAACAGCCCTATCAACAACCTTACCAACAGCAACCTTATCAGCAGCAACCCTACCAACCACAGCATCAACAACAACAACAACAACAACAACAACAACAACAACAACATCACCAACAACAGCATCAGCCACTGCCCCCCTCGTCTTCGCAAAACTGGAGCCAGTCTCAGAATGTATCTACATCCGTACAGACACAGGGACAAGGCGGGCATGGGAGACCACGTATCGATCCGGACTTTATCCCATCACCCGTTACGGCACAGGAGGCTGATCAGGAACTGTGGAATCAGCAGCCGTATGTGACCTGCACCAAGGGCAGTGCAGTACCCATGGCCTGTACTGACTTCCAAGCCATTGATGCCGGTATGTAACTTCTAGTGCAAAATCCTGTTCTTGCGGATCACGCTAAGACTTTTTTTTTTCTATTGACTGACGGTCATTTTCTTTGACTTCTGATAGGCAACTGTAACCCTCGATTCTTCAGGATGACCACGTATCAGATCCCGACCTCAGAGGAGCTTATGGAGGCTTCTTGTATTCCCATGGGCCTGGTGATCCAGCCACTGGCAGAACTTCGTGCTGACGAGGTAAAGTTATATAAGAATTTCCATGCACACTCATCCCTCATTGGTACCATCGAACTGTGCTTAAAGGCTATATTAATACTCACGAGGTCGTATTTTTTTATTAGGCCCCCATCGACATTGTCGATTTTGGTGAGGCTGGCCCGAAGCGATGCAGACGATGCAAGGCCTACATCAACCCGTACATGCGCTTCACGGGCGGCGGGCAGCGGTTCGTGTGCAACCTGTGTCTATTTGAGAACGATGTCGAGCCGTCGTACTTTTGCAACTTGGACATGAACGGGCGTCGGCTCGATTTGGACCAGCGGCCCGAGCTGCGCAACGGCAGCATCGAGTTTGCGGTGCCCAAGGAGTACTCGAACAAGCCGCCCCTGCCGGCTGGATACGTGTTTGCGATCGACGTGTCGTGGACGGCGGTTCAGAGCGGTATGTTGAATGAGGCGGTCAAAGCGGTCAAGCAGGCGATCTGGGATGAGAACGGGGTGTCGAGGCTGGCTCCTGGAGTGCAAATCGGAGTGATGACCTATGACAAGACAGTGCATTTCTATAATTTATCGGTGAGTGACGTGCCTTGATGCTGAGCTTACGGCCTCTTCTCTATCGAGCTCCATTTAACTGACTTTTTTTTTTTTTTTTTTTTGGACGCCCTTCTTTTTTGTCCAATCTTCACTTGTAGCCATCACTGGATCAGGCTCAGATGCTGGTGGTGCCGGATGTGAGCGACATGTTTGTTCCCCTGAGTGAAGGTTTCTTGGTCAACCCCGAGACATCACAGTAAGGATTACATTGTTATGTTGTACGTTTTTCTTTTATTCAAGTATTCAGAAATGAGTCTGATCATTCCTTGTTAATTCTCTCGTTCATCGTAGAACAATCGTCGAGTCGATGCTGGACATGCTACCCCACCTCTTTGCCGAGAACAAGACCACCGAGCCCGTGATCGGCGCCGCCGTTCAAGCGGTGCGCATGGCGCTCGAGCACCGGGGTGGCAAGCTCATCCTCTTCCAGACTGCCCTTCCAACCTTTGGACCCGGCGCACTGCGGCAAAGAGACGAGGCACGGCTGTACGGGACTGAGAAGGAGCGGGTTCTATACACTTCTCAGGATCCTTTCTACCAGAAACTGGCCGAGAGCTGCGTCCAAGTTGGACTATCGATCGATTTGTTCCTGTTCCCGAACGCGTACATCGACATTGCCACCGTAGGCACCCTGGCAAGTGTGACGGGCGGCGAGACGTTCATGTACCCAAACTTCAGTGTGGACAAGGACAGTGATCGGTTTGTGGGCACCCTGGTGAGGTTGGTCAGCAGGCCGTTTGGGTTCAATGCGCTGTTGCGTGTGCGGTGTTCGACGGGCCTCACGACGGCGGAGAATGTGGGCAATTTCTTCATGAAAAACGGGACCGATGTCGAGCTGGCTGGACTGGATTCTGAAAGGGCGTTGGGCGTGCTGATCAAGCATGAGGGGGGTAAGCTGGACGATAAGACCGAGGCGTCGTTCCAGGTGGCGCTACTTTACACGACGGCGAGTGGACAAAGGCGTGTGAGAGTGCACAACTTTAGTACACCGATCACAGGCCAGATGAGCCAGTTGTTCCGGGCGGCGGACATTGATACAACGGTGAACTTTTTGGCCAGAGCAGGTACATATGATGGGCCGCCTTTTTTTCATTGTTTTCTGATGACGTTTTGGTAAGAATGAGGGCCCATATTTGGTTCTTACTTCTTTCTCTTTGCCTGCTATCTATAGTCGCGCAACATGCGTTGAGCAAGCCATTGAAGGAAGTTCGAGACGTGCTGACAGATCGTTGCGTCCGAATTTTGTCCGCATATCGCCGCCACTGTGCCTCTTCTACGGCCCCTGGACAGGTAATGACCATCCCATTCTCGAGGGATTCATATGCCAATTGTCTTGTGCGCTAACTCTCTTTTTGCGCTCATACTATGTGCATCATCGAAACAAAAAATAGTTAATACTCCCAGAGTCCTACAAGCTCTTCCCACTGTACTCGCTGACGATGCTCAAGTCCAAGATGATCCGAGCCGGACGGGATATCAACAGCGACTTGCGAATCCAGCAGATGCGGATGGTTCAGAGCATGGGCGTGGGCGAGAGCATCGCCTTCTTTTACCCACGCCTGTTCGATATTGGTAACCTGACTGGTCATGTCGGTGTTGTGGACCACCACCATCCAGCAAGTAAAGTCGTGCTGCCGGGTTTGGTGAGGACATCATACAGTCGTCTGAACCCTGCGGGAGCATACATTCTAGAGAACGGACAGCGCATGTTCCTTTGGGTCGGACGTGAGGTTGCACAAGAGACGCTACGGGATCTGTTTGGGATCTCAACTTTAGAGGAGATTGATACGGCGACTATGGTAAGCCCTTTCTTAAGGGATTTTTTTTTGTGACTGTTATTGATGGCTTGAATCCTTGTAGCTAACTTCTCATTTTTTTTGTTCGGATGATAAAATATAGCACCATCTACCTGAATTGACCAACGACTACAACTCGCGAGTGCAGGCAGTGGTGCGAACAATCCAGCGGCAGCGGGGCAAGTACCTGGGTCTCACGGTGGTGCGACAAGGGCTGGATGCGACCGAGGCTGAGTTCTCATACGAGCTGGTGGAGGACCAGAACAACGAGAACATGTCCTATGTGGATTACCTGTGTGCTGTGCACCGGATGATCCAGACGGACGTGACAACTGGATCGCGCGATTAGAAAACAACGGGAGAGATTTATAGTAGATAATGTTGCGCCTAGAGTTGTAGACCATGGAACACAAGTAATATATTTTGTGAGTTTAAGCAATTTTTCTGACTGCAAATAAAAGCCTGAACGAGAAGCGCTGTACCTGGTGTCTGGATCGTGTGTGTGTGTGTGTGAGAGAGAGAGAGAGAGAGAGTGAGAGAGTGAGAGAGAGACAGGGAGATGTTTCCAGGTCAACTCTGTAAATTTCTGGATCCACTCGACCACGATACTTGCACATAGTATTCTTTTAGAGAAACATAGAGTGATGGTGAAGAAGACCTCTATGCGTGCAATCCTACTGGCCGCTATCATGGCATTGGCCTCGCTCCCAGCAATCGATGTCTTTCAATTCCCCGCGACCAAATGTCCCGAAGTCGATCCCACCTGTGACCACTTGAAATGCGCCAACCTGTATGTGGCTCTACCTCGCGACGGATACTGCCCTCGCTGCGTGTGCGGAAGCAAATAAATTCCAGGCATCATTCCCCTGTCCTGTTCACCTTCCCATGTCTATTTCTCCCAATAAACATCCAAGGACTTTCTTGCCCTATACCACACACATGATGCCCAAGTGCACATAAATATTGACATCCTACACCTATGAGTGTAGTAGTGTCGTCTTACGATGCCGAGGGTACATATTTCTTAGAGAGAAAAGTGCATTGACCCTCTGAAAGGGAGAGGTGGCCGAGTGGTCCAAGGCGCTGCACACTCGGAAAATGTTTATTTTATCGTGCAGTTTGCTCTCTGAGCATCCGTGGGTTCGAATCCCTCCCTCTCCCTTATTTTTGTTTGGTCCAATTTTGAACGATCTATCATGATGATGGCAGTCCAGAATACGTTTATTGGCTCGAGGAAATCACTTTCTTCCTTTCTTTCGTCTCAAAAACAATATTTCACATATCCACAACACAGTCAAAAGACGGGACATATAAAAAAAATGGGAAACGAACCGAGCAAGCCCAGTCAACACGAAGCCATGGAAATCGATGGCCAGTGCCTCCATGGCGCCGTTCTTCAAGGATCCACCACCTTCCTCGTCTACGACACCAACCTAACCATCTCGCGACTGACAAAGTACGCCACCCGCTCGGTTGTCGGTCACTTTGTGTGCAAGTACTGCCGTCCCCTCGACCCTTGGGTCTGGAAGTCCGAAGACATCTGTACCGAGCTCTGGTACACTCCAGTCTCAGGCCGATATCGCACCCAGTTGCACTCACAGAAGTGCAAGAAGTGTGGTACATTCGCCGAGCCCCAGGTAGACCTGGATGACTATATGCGCAAGCTCACGGGCGCGTTCCAAGGCTGGAGGACCGAGAGACCTCCTGAGTATGCGTCGCAGGAGAATGAGATCTGGACCGATCCTCACGACTCGGAGCGTTGCCATGGTTGTCTGAAGGGGGTCTGCCCCAAAGGTGATAAGGACATCAAGGATATCAAAGACACGAAGGCTTAAAAATTCGTTGTTCTGTCGCTTCACAAATGATGAAACGCAGCTTACGCCCGCATCTTTGCTTTGCATCTTTTTCTTTCTTTTTCTCTCTCGTCTTGTCCATGAATGTAAAGAACACATTGGAACGAAAATAAAACGATCACCTCAAATGATCCACGCACGAAATAGACCCATCACTGTTCAATTTTTCCTTAACTTCTTCCTTACTCACAATCACACATGCATTCATCCAGCAATCTAAGCAAGGTCCAGACATTTCCCATCTCACGCGTCTGTATCACCATCTCCTTCACACTCCAGATTGTTCCGCCACGCAAACAACAAAGGTCTAACGCGAGATATTTGAGTGACTTCAATAGGAAACACAAGAGTGTGGAATGGCGCCAAGGACAGGAGACGAAAACTTCTGCTTTACAACGGACGCCCGTGAAGCTCTGGACGGTCATTATCTTCACAACGATGTCCAGTCATACGCCACGTACCTCCTCCTCTATAACGGCGACCTGAGCCGATCGGACCCCCATGGACACCAGGACGGCGATGTGCGGTACTCCACCCGCAGTGTTGTCGGAGAATATGTGTGCCATTGCCGCGGCCCTCGCCACCCATCCTGGAGGTGGACTTCGGGAAAGATCTGCACTGAGGTCTTGTTCTCGCCAGCGACGGGCCACTACCGGACCCGTCTGCACTCGCAAAAGTGCAAGTTCTGTGAATCCTACGCCGAGCCACGAGTGAACATCGAGAGCTATGTCACCAAGCTAGTCGATGTCTTTGACATGTGGAAAGGGTTAAGACGCCGAAGGGAGCGTTCCGGCCGAGCAGTCCATCGCACACCCCCACATCACCCGGACCGCTGCCATGGCTGTTTGGTTGGGGTATGCGAACAAGTACACCGACGCTCTTCGGGATACTGGTACTGAACTACTTTCCAATAGGGAGAGCAGAGTCTATTGCAGGCATGGGTTCCTTCTCTCTCTTTTTTTGTTAAGAATTTGACCGCAAGGACACTTCCGAGCGTGTCAAATAGTGCACAGCCTTCATTTCCATTTTTGCAGATCAAAAGGTAGCTTAACAATACTTTTCATACAAAAATACAGCATTATTGTCGGGATCTCCTCATGTATGCTGCTAAGTTGTGAAAGCAGCGGTAACAACTGTGTCTTCTTGGGGAGAAACAGGCGCGCTTGCTGATCCCGGGCCGGGAACGTGAACGTGTGCTGTCTACTCATCTATTCACGCGCGCTCTACTTTAATCTTTGGCTTTTATTTTTTGTTGGATCCACGGTGTATTTTTTGGTAGCTCTTTTAAGCCCACATTGACAATGCGTTTCTTACCTTCCTCCCAAATCGTCCTCCACTCATTCACTTCTCCACACACCCTCAAACAACTGCAGTGGGGAACGAACAAAGCCTCCCTATCAAACAAGACAAACACGAAGTAGAGGAAATCATTGAACAACGCCTTCATGATGATGTGACGTGTACGACACCAACCTTGCCAATTCGTGACTGACAAAGAACTCTACGGTGATTTTAACCGGTTTAAGAAATTGATCGGTTATGTGTTGGTTAATGCATGTCCTCGTCGGTCAAGTTCATCTATTAACTGAATATCTGGCCAAGTGTTCAATAGGTGGCTACTTGGTTAACGGGCTACTCAAGGTAGAATAGCCAAAAGAGGTTACCCGACCTGCCACAGGCAAGGATATGTCGTCAACTTCGGCTTTCCTTTTTTTTTTTTTCATCGTTCACGCTTGGTCCATCAGGACTTCGCCCTAATTTGTAGTGAAGGAAGATAGCCACAACACTTCGAAAATACACTTTTCTTTCTTCCGCTTTGTCTCTTTTTATCGCTCTCCCAACTGCAACAGCTTCTCTCACTCTGAGCTCACCTGTAATCACTGTAGTCATCTTGATATTCCTTCTGTGCGACTTGACTTTGTATGGCTCACAAAGGGCTAATATCCATTACCTATCTCCTGTACGCTAGCGAAACTCAGGCTTAAATAACTCCAATGACGCGCAAGAAGGGAAACCGCACTGAAGGCAGCGCCTACAATCTACCTGGTGCCCGCGAAGAAACCGACGGCCGCCATTTTCACGACGATGTGCTCGCCCACGCCGACTACCACTTGACCTACGATAACAGTCTCAAGCACTCGAACAGCACCAATCAGCGAGGCACGAACTTTGTGCGCCACTCCACCCGCAGCCTCTTTGGCAAGTTTGAATGCCTCCAGTGCCCTTGGGCATGGACCTCAGGCAAGATATGTGTTGAAATCTGGTTTTCCCGAAACCCCGATCGCTACAGCACTCGAATCCATTCCCAGAAGTGCTGCAAGTGCGAGACGTACGCCGAGCCCCAGTTGGACACGGACAGTTACACGACCAAGCTTGTCGATGCCTTTGACCTCTGGAAAGGCTTGAGAGAACGAAGGGAGCCCAATGACGAATTCCGCGAGACACCTCCACATCATCCTGACCGCTGCCATGGATGTCTGGTTGGCGTCTGTGAACAGTCCAGCAGAAAATCAAAAAACTGGTACTGAAATCGTCGCTGTTGTGGGACCAGGGTTTCTTTTGGTGACCTCTCGCCCACCAGAAAGAGTTCTTGGGAGTTTACACACAACGCAAATGTCATACTTCCACACACACAGATAGCGCAATTCCACACATATAAATAGCACAATTCCACACACACACAAGTAGCTGACCAGATAGCCACACACACTTTCATTGCATCTTGTTTTGAACATCATATTCATGCTGCTTATTGCACTGATGCATGATTGTCCACAAAAAGTCTTGGCGATCAGACCCGATGGATACGTGTGACTTTGTAGGCCCTCCCACTTCAACTTTGCATTGGGAGAGATTTTGATATATTTCTCTGCAACCACCTTCACACACACACCAAACACAACGCTCTCCCATCTCCAACAACCATGTCCAATTTCCATCGCCTTGTGCGTCGTGTTGGCGGTAGGTGGAGCTTCCATTTCGTGTCTCAAAGAAGGAGAACAAAGTACCTTAACGGCAATACTGTATTTCATATCAACTTTAGGCCTTCGTCAGATCCTCGAGCATTCGATCGAACAACGCTTGCAGCGCCGATGGATCCATCTCAGCACAAGGGTGGATACCAAGCCAGCTGATGGCCAACGGAGCAACTCTCCGCATCGAGGACCGCTAGCGCGTGAGGAAGCGGAAGGAGACTATCTCCACAGTGCCGTGCTCCTCAGAGCTGACTATGACCTAACGTACGACAAAAGTTTGTCCAAGTCCACGACGGTCAGATATGGCACCCGCTCCATTGTCGGCCAGTTTGTTTGTACTGCCTGCCAGCCGCACCGCCCCAAGATGTGGATATCTGGCGTTGTGTGCGCCGAGCTCTGGTTCTCTCCTGGCACCAGCCGTTACCGGACCCTGCTGCACTCGCAAAGGTGCAAGCGATGCAACCGGTATGCAGAGCCCGAGCTGGATCGCGACAACTACGTGCACAAGATCATCCGCGCGCTCGATCTTTGGAAAGGGCTACGACAGCCGGCGCTCTCCTCCCCCAAGAACCACGTTCGCACTGGCCCTCACGACAGCCAGAGATGCCATGGCTGCTTGAAGGGGGTGTGCACCAAAACATCCATGACTGCTCAACAACAAGTGTAGCGGGTATGGCCATTCCGGTTTACTCAAGAGGATATGCTGTTTTGGATCAAGGACAAGAATAAAAAAAATATATGCGGGGACGGTACAGCAATGGACTTTTTTTCTTGCAACAATATGCGTTGGAAAAGTTTGAGTGGGTCCTGCCACGAAAGAGAGAGAGAGAGATAGCCGCTCTGCAGGTGCAGCTTCCTTAACAGACGCTGAGAAAGCACAGACGCAGCGAATGTACTTTGAGAGGTTGTTTCGGGGGGTGAATATTGGAGAGTGCTGCAATGGTGAAAAATCTGAGGCCTGTGCATTTCAGAAGCAGATAGCCATTTGGGTCGGTTCCTCAGAAGTCGCGGGTAAGAGGGCAAGGAGGTCGAAAGAGGTGAAAGAAACCGCTGCACTGGAAAATAAGTTCGATGGGCTCATTTTCCATCAAGCCGTAGTCGTAGACTTTCCAGCGGTATGTTAGCATGGCTTCTTGTTCAAGCCTCGTTGCCACCCGTGAGGCACGGAGAAGGTTTCGTGGTTCAAACTCGAGTCTCTCGAGCAATTCCCGCCAGGCTGGCATGAAAGATCCAACGAGGGCGACGACCTTGAGTGTCTCGAGTGGGTGCAGCATTCTCATTAGAGGCATGGTGGTTGTGGATTGGAGAGGAGATGGAGCTGGATGGCATTGGT